GTGCTGTTCGCAGGCCAGGAAAGCAGCCAGGCCAGCTGCAGCTGAGCCGGCCAGAGCAGAAGAGAGGCCGCACAGACTGTGTGAGGCTTTGTTGTGAGCCTGTTCATGTTCAGAGAAAATGGTACTCGGAGCTGTGAGGTCAGCTCAGCGGCTGGGCTGAGCAGATCGTGTGGGGAAAGCAGCAGACTCTACAGTGGTCTGGGGGGAGATGGAAGGCGTCAGCAGGGCGTTTGGAGGCTGCTGTGACAGTTGACAGAAAAGCAAGTCGCCTGGGGGAGACCGCATTTCCCCTTCAGTGTTACTGTGAGCTATTAATAGATCACCCAGATGCCACCTGGCTGCAACTTTGGAAAGGCTGGTTTTCTAATCAATGATTTTTATCTTTTGAAATTAAAATATGATTACATCATTTCTTTCTTCCCTTCCTTCCCTCCAACTCCCCCCATGTACCCTCTCTGGCTTTCTCTCAAATTCATGACCTCTTCCTTTCATGGTTCACACACACACACACACACACACACACACACACACACACACACACACACAGAGTCCTAATTTATAATTACAATATGCTCAGTGCGTATAATGTTCCTTGCGTGTATGTTTTCAGGGCTGACCACTTGATGTTGGATAGGACATCTGGGATCTCTTCTCTGGGGAAGCCTGTTTCTCCTGCCTCTAGCGTGCCTTAGCTGCCCACAGTTCTTAGTCTCGAGAACACAACTCCTGTGCCTAAGGCTCAGAGACCTCCAACTGCAGAAGATGTGCCCCCAAGACTGTAAGATCCGGGGGAACAGGGAGTAGGATGTGAGAGTGTGTCAGGGAAGCTACCGCCATGAAGTCTCTCCAACATGGCTGCCTAAACAAGGCCTGAACAAGGGGACACCAATAGGCGGCTGGATTTTAATTGCTTCCTTTCCTAATCTATTCAGACCAATTGTTTACATGGGGTGGGGGGACGGAGGGGGTATGAAAACCAGAGCAATCCAACAGACCTGGACATCTGCCTTTGGAGTTTATTGTTTGTGAGGGAAGAATCCTAAGTGGCCCAGACTGGCCTTGAACTCCTGATCCTCCTGCTTTTGTCTTCCAAGTGTTAGGATGACAGGCTTGTGCCACCATTTAAATTATGTTTAGGTTTTTAAAGAGTTTTGGAGGGGGGTTGAGATAGAATTTCACGATATAGCCCAGACAGGCCTTGAATTCTCGTCCTCTTTCCTCAACCTCCCAAGGGTTAGGATTATAGGCATGCTCATGAGGCCTAGCTTAAAATTTTAGTTTAAGGACAAACAAATGTTATCTTTTTAAAAAATGGGGTTTGAAATCTGAACCCGGTAATTCTTGATTTTGTATTAATCAGCTTTTCATTTACGTAACTAAAAGCCTGAGAGGATCAACTTAAAAAAGGGTTCTGTTGGCCCACAGTTCTGTAAGTTTCAGCTGAAGCTGTGAACATGTTAGCAATCCTCCTGCCTCTGTTCCTCCCCAGTGCTGGGATTACAGGCCTGCTTCAGTGGCTGGTTTACCTCAGCTTTGTATTTTAAACTCATTTTTCCCCCTTGTGAAATGCGAAGAAGTATATGAACTATGTATAGAAGGCATATATTCTGTCATAAGTCATTCTCCTTGTCCACATGTCCTTGAACTTCAAATAAGCAACGGATGATGTTATTTTGTCATTGATACCTGATTTTGGTAAGACTTCTGTATTTTCAGCTCTTAGAGAGTAGGCCTTTTAGGTACAGAGACATTAGCTAAAATAAACTTTAATAGCTCTTAAGCTCAGAAAAAAACTATGAGTGATTTGCTCAGACCCATTTTTGTATACATTTTGTTCAATCATGAATTATATATATAATATTCACATATATTAATATTCATAACCGTCACTAAGCTCATGAATCTAAAATGAGAACATTTTAAGAGCGCCGAGGGTTGGGAGACAGTACCAAGTCTATGTAGCCTCATGCACACATCCCTTCTCAGCACAGCTGGTGAAGATCTGGGGGACCAGGTCTATTTAATAGTGTCAATTTCAGTAATGAACAGGAAGCTTGTTCCGACTTGGAAGACCTAAAGTTGTTGGAAATTGATTTCTTACTGCAGCGCCAAAGTGAATCTCTAGTTTTTTAATCTTTTGACCACAACCTTTAAGAGCTTTATAGACTAAACTGGAAGAATGTTTTACAGAGTAGTTCACTCATGCTCTGCCCACCAAGTCCCGCTTCTCAGCTTGTGTATGTGCTTACTAGGAACTGAACCCAGGAACTCAAGCATAAAAAGCAAAGCTCTGGACTGGACAGATGGCTCAGTGGTTAAAACACTGGCTGCTCTTACAGAGGACCTGGGTTTGATTCCCAACACGGACATGGAGGCTTATAGCCATCCATAACTCCAGTTCCAGGGGATCTGACACCCTTTACTGGCCTCCACAGGTACTGGGTTCACATGCAATGTGTATACATTAAATACAGGTAAGACACTCATACACACAAATAAAAATAAATCTTAAAAAAACCACGAGTTTTATTATTGAGCTACACCTTTACCCTCAATACAGAATTCTTTTCCTTTAAAATAAAAAAAAAATTACTTCTTTGAGAATTTTATAATTTTGGTCATAATCATCCCTCCCCCAGCTCCTCCCAAGGCCACCCCTTCCTCCTTACCCAACTTTGTGTCCCTTCTCTTTTGTTCCTCCCCCTCCCTCCTCCTCCTTCATTGTCTTCGTCGTCTTCTTCATCTTCTTCCTCTTCTCCTCTCTCATTCATTCATTCATTCATTCACTCGTTCATTCAAGAAAACCATTAGTCCAATTTGTGCTGCCCATATTGGGTGCATGGTCCTAAGAGACAGCTGAATGCTTGGCCCTAAATGGGACATATATGTCCCACCCCCGGGTCCTCTCAAGGCTCAGGGATCATTGTGAACAAAACTAATCTAAGAGCCGGGGGTGGTGGATGACTAAGAAGGAAACAATGACAACAGGCACTAGTCCCAGGCCTGCTCGAGCCAGGCCAGTCCACCCAGGGTCTGTTACAGGAGCTCTATGCCCTTCAGTGTGGTTGACTTGCTCTGAACCTAACTGAAGCTTATCAGTGTGTCATTTAGCTGAGTTGTCATTCCATGGTGCTATGATAGACTTATCTTGGGGGTGCTTGTTAAAAGTAGATATCCCTGACCCCTACATCTAGATGTTCTGGCATAACAGATTTCTAGAAGGCTCTCAGGAAACAGTATTTTTAATTCATACCACTGGTGGTGACAATGCAAAGGTCACTGGACCTCCCTTGGAGAACTGTTGTTTCAAAATACCAGGATACCAGGCCTCTGAATGTCTTTTAAGGTGTTAACTGAGCAGGAAGGGCAAATGTGTAACATGGCCTTTACAAGGCAGAGCAGCGCGAAATGAGTATCCAGGGATCAGCAACTGGGGAGGAAACAACCCTCAGCCCGGGGATGGAGGCAGGCTTGAGAGTGTCTGCCTGAGAATGGGTGTGAGGGGTGCGTGGGAGACACAGACAAGAGCCACGAGAGTAGATGGAGCTCCTTAGGTCAAAGGGTGAGTGAAAATGAAAATCCAAGACAACTGAAGACATGCCAAAGCAGAGCCTTTAGCATATAGAAAGTGGTGTTTAAAACCAAAACGAGGGGCTGGAGAGATGGCTCAGAGGTTAAGAGCACTGACTGCTCTTCCAGAGGTCCTGAGTTCAATTCCCAGCACCCACATGGTGGCTCACAACCCTGGCGCCCTCTTCTGGCCTGCAGGGATATGTGCAGATAGATAAAACACTGTATACATAATAAATAAATAAATCTTAAAAAAAAAAAAATGAGGGCCAGTTAGCTGGCTCTGCAGGTAAAGGTGCTTGCCACCAAGCCTGAGCACCTGGGTCTGATGCCGGGAACCCACGCGGTAGAAGAGGGGCACTCACTCCTAGAAGTCGCCCTCTGCCCTGGACAAGCTTGCTGTGGTGTGTCTGTACCCCTTCACCACACAATAAATAAAGGTCATAAAAAATAAACGAGCCGCCCAGCGGTGGCAGCAGCGGCGGTGCATTCCTTTAATCCCAGCTCTCAGGAGTCAGAGCCAGGCTGATCTCTGTGAGTTCAAGGCCAGCCTGGTCTACAGAGCGAGATCAGGACAGGCACCAAAACTACACAGAGAAACCCTGTATCGAAAAGCCAAAATAAACAGATAGATATATGGATGGATGGATAGATAGATAGATAGATAGATAGATAAAATAAAAGAGTGGAAGAAAAGCTGAGCAACTGGAGAAATGCACTTAGAAACTTGAAAGATTGAAAATCAATAAAGCAGATATTAAATCCAACAAGCAAAGACAAAACAAACAGAGAAACCAAACAACAGACAAAAACAAAAGCCTGCCAACATCCCTGGGAAAGGGGGGCAAGGCCTTAGAACCTGAGGACTTCGGGGGACTGGGAGGAAGGTCCTGAGTTTGAGGCCAGCCTTGGTTACAAACCAGACTTAATCTCAAAAAAATAAAATAAAATAAAATAAAACAACAAAACAAACAAAGCTCCCACTTCCCAAACCCAGGAAGTGTGTGTGTGTGTCTGCGTCTGTGTGTGCATGTGTGTCTGTGTGTGCTTTACTACCGTACAGCAATGCACTTAAAATCTGGGGGGGAACAGGAATTTACAGAGAACTACAGACCAACTGAAAAAGTGGCAGGGAATCGGACGATCCGATCATTATCGAAGCAGCTGAAAAGGTAATATGGAATACTATTAAAACAAAAGTTACAACAATAGGAATATGGATAACAATAGCATGCTGTGCATCTAAATTGATGGCGGGTCTGGGCGTGAAGCTCCCAGGCAGTGAGTGCCTAACACCACGGGCTACGGGGTTCAATGTCAGTGTCTCCTGCTTCAGACAAATGGTAATCTGTGGGGGGCTTTCTTAAGCCACACTGATTTTCCTAAAGGTTTTACTCCCCCCCCCTCTCTCTCTGTGTGTGTATGTATGTAGATGACGTGTGAGAGCAGGTGCTCACAGGGTTCAGAAGATGGTGTTGAGTCCCCTGGAGCTGGAGCTGGAGTTACAGATAACTGTGAGCCCCGAACCATGGCGCTTTGCAAGAACAGTAAGCAACTGCTAAACTATCTCTCCAGCCCCTATTTAAAACCTTTTTAAAGGCAGTATTTCATATAGCCCAGGCTGGCCTCAAACATATCGTATGTAGCTATGGATGACCTAGACTCTCTGAACCTCCTGCCTTTATCCCCCAAGTACTGGGATTGTAGGAGTATGCCATGATACAGAGTCAAACTCTCACTGCTACTGTTACTGCTAACAATAACAATTAAGATTATTTATGAAAGTAAGGGAAGGAAGGGGTCCAAGGTCTAGGTAATTTTATGTAGTCATTATAGAAAACCTCTAAGAAGGAGATGAATTCTGGTGTAGCACCGTTAACAGAGTACTTGTATAAAACAGGTGTGGTGTCCCCTGCAATCCCAGCACTTCGGAGGCGGAGGCAGGAGAGTTAGAAGTTCATATTTGGCTATATGATGTGTTGGAGACTAGCCTGGGCTACATGAGACTCAAAAAGGAAAACAAAAAAGATAAATTCATTTGTTAAGAATAGATGTCTATAGCATAGAAAGTAATTAAAGACTCATATTTATTTACAGTTAAACTATCATTGAAAAGAAGGCAGACGCCAGTGTAGGAGGCCGGCTCTTATCTTTTAAAGGGTTCCTATGAGGAGGAGAGAGGGATAGGAAACTTTTAGATAGACAGATAGTGGAGAGGAGACAGACAGAAACACAGGATAGCTTCGGGAGGACCTGGATCAAAATCCACCGGCCCCTTCTGGCTCCTCAGAAGGGCTTTTTATAACAATGCCACGGGGTGGGGCAAAAGACCTCCCCATTACTAGATCAAAGCACACAGCACAACCTAGTGCAGACCCTTCCAAACACCTGGTAACCACACCATGGTCCAATCATTCCTCTAAGCAGCCTTGCTCAGATCTCACTAGGAAACCTCTGTGGTGGTGGTGGCGCACGCCTTCAATCCCAGTACTCGGGAGGCAGAGGCAAATGGATCTCTATGAGTTTGAGGCCAGCCTGGGCTACAAAATGAGGTCCAGGACAGGCAGGGTTGCACAGAGAAACCCTGTCTCAAAAAACAAAAACCAAACTGAACCAAACCAACACGAAACAAGAAGGCAAACAAGTACAGCACAAAGAGGAAAAACAAGTCCACCTCAGTTATGAAGGTAAATGTTCTGCAATGAATAAAAGAAAAGGAGGCCAAAGCTTATCTTTGCAGCTGCTGCCAGCTCCCTAATCCACAGCTGCTATCAAGGAAGGTGCAGATGTTGGTACACACATGTTCGTTGAACTAACTTTAATTAGCTAAGCAGGGATAATCCCAGGAATGTGAGTGTGGTTGAAATTAGGGATTATGTTCACCATTAAAAAGAGACACACA